GACATGATAAGTGTGGTTCTACGGACTATAATCTACCCGATTGACGGAGTGTCAACTCGTGGAAGTTCATGATCGTGCAAGTGGAAAATAGCTCCTGAGAGCTCGTGTATCCTTGAATTGTTTCTGTTTACTTTTCTTGCTCGCATTGTCATTTATTCGAATATTATTGTTTTATCCATTAATTGGGATTGTTACTTGAACAATGTGCTTGCATGGGTATTCTTGACCTCACGAGCTATTGTTCACCCCGTAGATTTGTTTTACTTAATAGGAATGGGCATGGTATGACACTCGAAGGAACCCTTTTGAAGTACTTTTGTAATAGGGTTTCCAATGGAACTAACTAGTTATTTGTTATTGTTATATATTTTGAGAATTGATGTATCTTTTGGAATTTTGATGTAAGACTGGACATCCGATTATGGAAGCGACCCTTCTTTAGAATACTTGTATTAATTGTTATATATTGTTAGGTTTGAAAGTTTTCCGCATTTTCTTGTTTTATCTAATAGTAACGGCTAGTATTGTATTAAACTTGAACGAGATTTGTACCGAATCCTGGCGAGAGTTGGGCAGGCGTCCCGCGGATACTTTTTGGTTCGCCTTAGACAGAAGTGGGGGCGTCACAATTTCTCTTTTGTTACCGTTTATTATTTGGATACTAATATATTAATACACCTGTGTGTGTGTGTGTGTGGATAGTAAATTATTTTTTAAAAAAATATTATAGCACTTTTTTTCATATGTATGTAATATATGTGAAATAAAAAAAGTGGTTAAAACTATGCTGATGATTTACTATCCAAGCAAACCATAATTAGTAGCATAAAATCTTCCATTAGCTAGTAGAACTTCTGCCATAATCTTAAACATTTCCTAATTATTATTAACTTAAAACGTACAAAAAAAAAAGGGAAAGATAATTTAAACAAAAAAATGAAGAAGTGGAAGAATTTGCACCATGCAGAACTCTACAAGGTACTGACTACTGAGGTAGCAATCACTTCGGTATATGGAATCAAAATGAAATCATCTGCGTATTCTTTCTTTTTTTTTTTTGGGTCAAAGGTCAACTTCTATGTATAAATCATCTGCGTATTCGTCACAGATATTTATTATGAACGGTGAAAATCACGCCTGCAAGATTTGACCATGCGCTTCTGGAAACTTGCTTATGCATTGCGTACCAGCAGCTGCATGCGTCCTCAGCACCTGGTTTTGTCATCCCTCGTCTTTTCTTTTCTTTTCTTTGTAAAGTTAAAAGGAAAGGGAATGGACGGTGCGAATTACGATTAGCAACAGTCAGTGATGACCAGTTAGGACATGCCATTGCCCGGTGGAATATTTAATGCTCCATTAAGGCCACTTTAATCATCTCAACCTGCAGAGACTAAGGAAGCAAACGGGTCGAAAGCTTTGGCTAACCAAGCCAAACTCTATCTATTTCGTTTTTATCAAATTTGAACTGGCAAGCTCAAAAAATAATTTAAAGAAAATATTAGTATATTTTTTTTAAAAAAAATAGATATTTCATCTTAACAAATAATAAAATTATTAGAAATGTACCTGTAATTTCACTATTAATAATAAAAACATATGCATTTATACAAGTCTAACGAGAGTCCAGACAAGTTGAGTATCTTCGTAATTGGCTCGAGGTTGACTCAAGCTTTTACCGAGCCAATAAGCTACCATGCAAGCAAGACTTGATTCATTTGCTGTGTCCTAATCCGAACTGTTTTTATTAATTTTTACAATACTATAGTTGAGGCCTCGTATTATTGCTAAACCTGTCATTACTTCGTAATCATGCAGATTTAATTACACTAACATAACCATTGGTAAGTGATAACTGAATGCGAATGAAGAATTTTCAAAATACCAAACTTCTAAACTCAAATGATATTGGAACTAGGATCAGTCAACAACATGAAACAAAATAACTTCTGGCGAAAGAAAAGAATTTAGTCTTTAATAATTTCAAAAGAGTATTCAAAGAGAAAAATGTACACTTACAAATATGATAATATCTACAGTTTAGTTTTGCATGTTTCACTTCTCGTGTCACTTTTTATTATATTATTATTTCTCTTTTATGAGCATAATATTTTAGTTTTTTTTTTAAATTTTTTAAAGATCCAATAACTATTAACTGAGTAAAAAATAAATACACTGGTCTAAAAAAAGTAATATATAATAAAAAATTAAAAAAATACATCAGAAAATTCATTAAAAAAATCTCATTTTTTTATGCACTTTGATATTTGAAGTTTCTTAAATTTTGTGCATTAGTCAATTAATAGTTATTGGATTTTAAGAAAATAAAAAGAACTAAAATATGATAATTATGAAGCAAAAATAGTAATATAACAAAAAGTGGGACAAAAAGCTGAATAAAAGATCCGTTGTGAGTTTAGGCAAGGAAACAACCTTTTAAACAAAAACATTACCCAAAAAAAAAAAAAAAAGGGAGAGAGATATAGGTCTGGTCACAGCCTTAATTGGAATGTGGTTTTCTCCAACAAAATTTTTACTTTTTTCCGTGAACACATTTTTAATCACCTTTTTACTTTATATATATCAAAATACTATATATATATATATATATTAACAAAAACTCCTAAAAGAATAAAAAGTTCGGTGATCCAGCACGTGGTTTTAGTTACAGTGAGCGGAGGTTTAGCGGTGCACGGTATTACCAGTGACAGCCCGCTCGACGAAGCTAGCGGCCCAATGGTCCATCATCATCGAGCCACGTTTCTCTCAATTTCCATGGATTTGTCAAGTGAGGACCACACCGAATCGAATTGTGACGACCGCAAGTGTGTTGGACAATTGATGTTTCCTCGTTACTTTCTTTCTTTTATATTCTTTTCTGCAACTCATTTCAATTCCAGTCCTTAAATTCTAAAATTCATCATCCAATTACCAAGTAAAATGCTAGCTAGAATAATTCATCCCTGGCATTTGATACCTTTCAACGAAGAAATCAGAATTAAATTACTAACCCTGGATTTTGATACCTGCTGACACGAATCTGACCTTTTCACGGTTTGACTAAACGTTTTTTTGGAACCCTTAGAATTTCAAGAAACTACTTTGAGGCCCCATGAATACTTAAGATATACCTACATTTTGGTACCTGAGCTCTTAACCAAATGATACGAGAAAATTTATGGATTCTTCTATTATGTGCTCAATATAAATACAAGACAAATCGTCTAGGGAGAAGTATAATCGTATGTGTATCTAATAATCCATTTTTGATGTGTTTATCGAGTGCCGACTCGAGGAAATAGGAAATACCATTTGACCAACTCCACTAAAATATTTTGTTCGGGAATTTATTCTAATGATACAATGCACATACATTTTAAGAGTTTTTATTTCTTTTAAAAAAAAACTCGTAGAATAAATGTGCCCTTTGTGTAGTCAAAATCCGATAGGGGCGAGAATTTGGCTTGCAAATAAGAAGCAGCAGAGAAGGGGGCTTGTCCCCTGTTTCACCTCCGATGTTTAAATTAATAAGACAGCTCAGGAAAAAGTAATAGAGAGCGAGAGAGGGCATTGTTTTGTTACCTCAAATAGGAGAGAATCTAGGGATGGTATTTTTTTCTTCGTTATAATAGAATTCTTATAACCTAAGTTAGCTTATTTTAGGAAGGAGGGGGAGGGGACTTGATGTGAGTAGAAACTCCATCGAAACTGGTCAATGAATACCGTCACATATTGTAACAAATTTTGTGGGAGGCAAGATTCGAACCCTTAACCTCCCGCATCACCAAATTTAAGAAGGCTTGGGATGACCCCCGGACCAAAGGCCCAGTGCCACCAACTTTAATTGTATCTGAAAAAGTGAATTTAACACGATCACTTGGTAGCTATCTGCAATCCTATGCCACCGCCTCCCTACTTTGTCAGGTGTCAAGGTGTTAATATGGGTCAAATCAGTGAGCCCCTTCTCAGAGCAAAAGGTCTAGACGACCTTAGGAAGAACATCTCAGAAAATCGAAACCCAGCCCAAAATCACGATCCGGGTTTGTCTAGGGTTCTTTAAGATGATAAAGATTCCCCAAGTGCAAGGTAAATATTTTGTAAGATGATTAAAAGATTCCCCAATTGACCTTGAACTACAATTGCTCAATTTCTTTTGGGAAGTGATATTTGCACTCTTCAATTAGTCTCGGGCACTCTTTCAAGGCCGTATTTTTAGCGAGTGAATTGGAGTGCTAGACGTACTCTAAGAATGCTATATTTTTAACGAGTGAATTGGAGTGCTAGAGGCTAAATGAAAAGTGCAAAAATGAATTTCCTTTCTTTTTCTTACTCGTTATTAGTAATATGTTTTCTTGGCTAGGATTCTTACTCATTGGCTTATTTTCTTGTGGTACCTTTTCTTCCTCTCACAAGAGTTCATGCCGTTCTGACATGCTTGACAAATGTTGATAACCATTAGAATGCCACATTTCTGTGCTCAATTGTTGATACAAAAGCTTGTTCCTGCCTTGTTTCTTCTACGAAAGAAACCTGCAAGTCTGTAACTCGAGTACCTACTCATAGCTGGAAACCTCTCAATCATTCACGGGCCAGAATTTGAAAAATTAAGAGAAGAAAGAATAAAGGCGGGGGAATAGGAATTTTCAGTGAAACGTAAGTAGTAAAAGTTGCTTTGTCTATTAGCACATTACAAAGTAGTCTGTTTCCACACCCACACTGATCAAATGGGAAAGAGCGAACTGTAAATGGAAGTCAGCAACATCACAAAGCAGAAATGCTCATTTTGTTTAGCCACTAATGAGAATATAAATAGCTCCAAGTTTATTCATAGTTATTGCCATAGGCATACAGCATTATGAGGAATGGTTGTATCCTTAGTGTCAAAGGGCGCCTTTTGTATATAGTATACCTGAGCCTTCGCTCACTTAAGTGTAAAGTTTATTCAAATTAATACAAATTCTAACGTTTCAGGGAAAAAAAGAAAAAACGGAAGCCAGCAACAAACCTGATAAGCATGGTAATTTTACTAAAATACCTGATTAGACCATCTCCACTGGAATATCAAAGTCTGCTTCATACCATGAAACAATTCCCGAATTTTCCACGATAATCTTAAGAAGAAAATTGCTGAACCCTTTTTTCAGCTAAGGCTCAAAATGCCTCAAAGCTTTGCAAGTATACTTGCAAGTAACAAAAACCAAGACTAGTTCAATCAGATCTTAAAATACTTCAAGGTAGATAACATATTCACATAATTCCAGTTTACTTCCTAGAAACAGGATATACAATGATCACACTAAAGTACCCAGCAATGATGCGCCAAGATACACTAATATAACTTCTTTCCAGAGGACTTCTTTGGAGCTATGGTAGTTCTGCAACAGTCATACTCGTTTTGGTGCGACGTATGGCACCCGTTCATCTTCACACAGTGTCTGCCCAGAGAAGAATGATTAACTTTTGACAAGTTTGTAACAAGAAATGACATGAGAAAACACAAAGCTGACATATAAAAAACAGACTTCAGGATTTGACTGTCCGACATTAAAAAGGGAGATTTTCCCTTCAACAAGCATGTTAACCTCCAGCCTGAGAAGCGGCGTCAACAAAGCTGATTTCAGGTAGACTTAACTTATTCAACTTATTCATGAACGACAGAGGGACTTATGTCAGAAGACTAGCAACCAACTAAAATTGACTGTTGTATCCAGACTCAGCACACTGAAATTTGAGTTTCAGTATGACTTTACATCTCTTTTGTAAGCAAGAACTTAAAAAGAATACATCTCTTTTGTACAACATGAAAAACAATGTGAAGAAAGAATACATAGGAAATCAACCAGCTGTTTTAAAGATGCAACCCTTGCCAAATTTTAGGTATGAAAGACATAACTAAGTAATAGGACAACAGCTTTCCTAATGGCATAACACGCATATGTCTGATAATTTTTAAACTGGCAAATGTGACTATATCTGCAACAGTAGGACCATTTAGTGCAAGTTATTGCTATCTACGTCAAAATTATACTAGTACCACATTTTTAACCTTTAAAATATCACAGAATATATATGTTGCAGCAATCCTGTCTCTATAAACACGCCAAAGCCTATAATGTTTATTATGAAGACAACAGAGAGTAGTTTGACTTTGACCTAGTCAATGTAAGTTTTAGCATTAAGAAAACCTAACATAAACCACCTAAAACTGAAAGGCATTATACACAAGCAAACTACAGAAGGAGCTCTTGTCACCAAGCTCTGCAGTATCTAACATGCAAAATTATTCTACAGAGAACAACTTGGGCATTTCTAAAGCTCATTTAAAGTTCTGATTTATACAAAGCAAAGTTGCCAGTCCACTGGACCAACAAAACTATAGGCCCAATGAACACTTCAATCATCACGAGAGCCAAAGTATGAAAATGAGTTACTTATTTAGCAGAGCAAGTATGATCCTAACAAACATGAATTTCTTGACCCAATAAGCCAGTCATATTCAGGAGACCGAAGCTGCAGTAAAACAAAGTAGAGTTCTCTGTGAAAGAATCATTAGTTCTTAGTTTCCTTCCAAGTTGCCTTTTTCAAATAGTACCCATTCAGATTCAAGGAACAAAAGTCCAGTAACCAATTATATAACTGTATTTTTCTTTGGCTCTTCACTTCTTTTTCTGGAAGTATATCAAAAGCATAAATGCAGAAGTTCAACATACGACAACATATCTCATGCGTAATTTGTTTTGCAACTCCTGATAAATGAATACCTGTAAGTCTTCTGGAAGTGCTTCTGAGACTGCAAGAGTGTAGCATCCTGGGACAAATTTTCCTGTGAATGTCCAGAGAACCACATGATCCAGAGTTAGTACCAATGCTATGGCGTAGAGCATCCAGGCAAGCCAATTTCATGACAAATTTTACTAAACAAATGGGAATACCACTAAGCCCACAGAAAATTTTGCACAGAAGGAGAAGCCATGAGGTACTCTAGGAAACAAAATGCTAGAGTCATTAAAAAAAATTATTGTCTAAAAAGCCCAAAACTTAACATTGCAAAAGCAAACTGATTACTGGAAAGCGAATGATTCTAGCTTTCTAGAACCAAAGTTGTTTCTAAGTGTTCTTTTGCCATGATAATCTTAGTTCACTTAAGCTAAAGAAAAAAGAGATTCTCAAAAGTAACTGAAGGTGCTTTTGAATCTCAGATGATAGAAAAATAAGCTCTCAACTCTCATTGATGAGAACAGAGCCATAATTGATGAGACAACTATAAAATTGTCATCATTATAGGTTTCAATAGGAAGGTTATTATTGTACTTGTTCGGTATGTATGAATGTACATCTGAATTAACTTGCACTAAGGTATTAACTCTTTCAGATCAAAGTAGAAAGGAAGGGATGCGGACTATTAATTCGTACGTGTTGTTTTGCAGACGGTCATTTAACACACAGTATGTCAGAAGTTGTTTAACTTCTGCTGGCTTTCTTCAGAGAATAAACCTAACAACTCCCTATGATAGTAAATTAGCAAAAGGACAACTCAAGAAATAATTGCATGATCATCAGGACAAAGTCATCAGCCAAATCCTGCAAAAGAATCTAGCCTGCTCACACAGATTGTGCATGCCCACTAAGAGTTCAACAGATACACTTGAATTTATGCACATTCAAGTCTCAAATAAACGGATAATAAACAACCATCATATTGTGAGACATAATTTATAAAATAGAAGAATCAATTGGAGGGCAAAACAAGCAGACCCTAAGCACCTCAAAATCAAAATGCACACCTATACCAACTTCTATTGCTTCCTAAGTGACAACAGGAATGGCCTTTACAATTGCAAAGCTTTCTTCATCCAAGAAAACTAAGCAAATCCTAACAAGGATCCAACCAACCAATGCAGGACACAGACAGACAAACATGCAAACATGCGTATAAAGCATCTCAATATCCCAAATATATATGAGTGTATATAGATAAAATGAGAAGGGCTTGGGTAAATGTTATAAGTATAATACCAATGCGGAGCCAACGAGCAGCCCAACTCCGAGTAGGGTCCATGACAGAGATAATCCTAATCGCCACAATAATGGTACTTCATAATCGAGAAGAAAATCAAAACTCAAGCAAAATTTGAACATTTTTCTTATAGAACAGAAATTACCCAGTGAAATTAGGAGTGGTACAGTCTACAACGCGTTCATGATCTTCATCCATCTTGAAGAACGGGCAGTTCTCGCATCCCGACTCCCTGAACTACGCTCCCCCACACAAATCCAAATTTCAATTTCCAATAACCCAAAAAAAAAATCAATTTTGTCGAATAATAAAACCCTAATCAGTTACCGTGAGGAAAAACTACAAACTGGGCAGAACCTGATCGTAGGTCTTGACGAGACGGCAGCGAAGGCATGCTCGGAGCTCGTGGCCGAAGCTCGTCGGAATTTGAGCCGCTCCTACGGCGCCGGTGCTTCCCATTGTCCTCTCTTCTTCTTCTTCTTCTTCGTCTTCTTTCTTCAAGCATTCTCACATGGACAGACAAGTGTTTATATTGATTCAAATCTGGCCCAAACGTGGATGCCTCCCCTTGTTGGGCCGGTGATGGGCAGTGGAGGCCCACATGCACCCTCATTGTCCACCGCTTTTCTTCTTTCTCGTGTCTTTACAAACTAGTGGGGAGATCATGAGCTTGAAAAATTTGTGCTCCTATCCTAAACAAGAATTATTAGATAACATATTCAAAAAAATAGAGAATGATTTTCAAGACTCTGGAAGTTCAGTCATAAGCAATATTTTTTTTATTGAATTGTTTTTATTGTGATTATTTATCAGTTGATGCAATGCATATATAATTTATCAACAATGTTCTCACATATTATTCATATTTACGTCAAAAAAGTTAATACTATATGCAAAATATTTAATCACCACATCAATATATGCTAAAACATTAATTTAATATTTTGGTTAGGGAACCTCCCCTGAGGTTTCTGACAATTTCACTGAGTTTCCTGAGGTTTAACAAATTACACATACCTCTCTTGTCATTTAAAATGACAATTTACCCTTAAATATTTTAATGAAATTCTTTTATTTGGTATGCTTATACTTAGAATGAGTTTTAAAATTATTTTTTCATTCTTTTTCCTTCTTATTTCTTTTCACCAATAAAACTATAGATCTACCACTATTACCTCTAGGTTTATATTATAATTAAATATCAAACTAGTGATTTTTTTGACGAGTTAATTTTATATATAATCTAATGTTTTTGTTGATCTTTGTTTTCTATTTTTTGGTATTAAAATTAACAATAAATCAAAAAGAAATGGCACAAAAGCACTACTAAATTATGATAATCCCACTACTCTAAAAATTTATAAATTGTAAATGAATTATTTCAACATTTTCTTTTCTATCTTATAAATCTAAATCCATAATAAAATACCAGCAAAAATATCATATCATAGTAATAAAATTATTATCATATCATAGTAGGTATGGGTATGCAAACTTTGGCATCTTTTCCTTATAATTATACTAAATAATCATATAATTGTATAGAAAAATAAATTAAAACTCATTCCATAGGGGCATTTTTGGGTATTCATTTAAAAAATTGTCGAAATAAATATTACTTTAAGGTCTCGTTACTAAAACTATCAAATCAAGGAAGGTAAGTGTAATTCTTCAAATCTTAGAGGAGCCCAGTGAAATTGCTAGAAACCTCAGGACTAAAACTATCAAATCAAGGAAGATAAGTGTAATTCTTCAAATCTTAGAGGAGCTCAGTGAAATTGCCATCTAAAATTAACCCTAAAAATAAATCAAAGTGCCCATTCTAGACTTGTAGGTCCTTCTTGTTTTCTAGAAAGAGGATATCATCCATCCAAGTTAAAAAAAATGAGGCACCTACAACTACAAGTGAGACGGCCCTCTGGAAGATTTTTTGATTCAAGATTCTTGGATGCCACATTCCTGTCATCACTCATAATATATCAATCGAGTGCTCGCACACTGCTGTGGATGGTCTTCTCTGTTTCTCATGGTGGTGGCTGTTCATTGAAAGTCCGTCTTCTTGATGAGAGACGAACCATTGGAATGCTTGGTCTATCTCTTTCCAATCGGATCAACTTTAGAAGTAACCCCAACAATCATTAGAATGCTTGGTCTTGGGAAGACAACACTTGCCAAAAAGGTGTTGAATCATCTCAGAATTGAGTATGAATTCTGCATTTGTGAATTTGGCCCAAGAACAGGAAAGGAAGGAAGTGTTCCTGAAAATTTTGAGTCAAATTTACGATGTCTGATGAACAGAATTGAGGGATGACAATTTCAACTAAAATATTTGACTAATGGAGTAACATATTTGTTGATAAATATCCACATTAAATATGGGTATAATAGTGAACTAATAAACCAACCACCCTTCTGAAAAAGAAATGAGCCTATGACTTCAGATGAACACAAAAGAAGAGTGAACCTAGTGATACATTCTAACCATCCACGTAGCAAAATAGTTGAACAAAATAATTACTTGTCAATGTACAAGGTGCTGTTGGTACATGTAGTAAATTTATACTACTAGTTGAAATGAATTGTATGTGGATATTAATAGCAGATTGGATAAGTTTAGATCAGATCTAAGCATCAGTTCAGGCAATAGATTTTGAAGCCCTCAAGAAAACAAGGATGAGCTTTCAGATTCAGTTTCTGCTCTGCTCATCTTAAAGAGTGTTGAACCATAACCATCGCCTCATGACGTTCCAAAGTGTCGAATTTTCATCTATTGCCCAATCTAAAGAATGTACAAGGTGCCAGCCATCTCTTCTGCTGCTTCGATGATTATCAAAATCCAAAATGTACTCTGAGTAACATATATATGGAAGCAAAGCAGAAATAAAAATAAACAAATGACCTGCTAGATGAAGAATGGAAAATACAAGTACTTCCACCTATATATTTGTTCACCCTGTCAAAATTGAATATGCGACCACCAAAAGTTGACCAACTTCTCAGAAAGCGCACTTTCTCATCGCCCATTTGCAGACAAAGAAGCAGTTCTAATCAAGTAAATAACGTGTTTCAAATCTACCATTGCCAGGACTACTACTACTAAAGCAAATGAAAACTATGTACTAGATGCAGAAGATGTGCTTCTTGCCCTGTCTCTCACCATAGTCTTCACAAACAGCTCCCCAGCTCGATACGATGATCGAACCTATGAAAGTGACAAGTCTTGCAAAGATTAGGCAAAATGGGATTTTATCAATAGCACACAAGTTTTAGTTCTCGATAAAGCGAAAAAATGTCAGTTTGTTACTAGACAATGATTTAGAGCTTTGCATAATCTCAAACAGTGATAAAATCCATCCAGACCATCGATTTCACATGAAATATTAAATAAATCACAAAAAAAATTAACTTCACAGAATGCAGTTGTTTAATAACCATACTATTATGCCAATAGTTATTCATGCTAACTTAAGTGATTGAGGATTTAAGCTCCTTATGATGCAAAACTCACCAGGGGTCCACTAGCTACATATCGGAAACCAATAGACTCTCCATATTCTTTCCAGAAGGTAAACTTTTCTGGGGTGACATACTCTTTGACAGTAAGATGTAATGGAGTTGGCTGCAAAACAACACCAACACAAAATAATCTATACAGTGTCATAAGCATATTTCTAACGATAATCTAGTCAGAATATTGCTAAAATGGGTTAAAAGGATATAGAACAATGTGAAACGATGGGTCTATGGCTCCTCTACAGGTCATGCAACATCATGTACAAGCAAAATGAGTAAGATGATGTAGATTAATATGAAACGAGATATTAACACTAACCTAGTTTCCCAATTGACGTGTTACATGTTCGAGATTAGATCATCTTACTTCTCAAAAATCATGGTGAAGAATAGCTTGCACATTTGCACTCACCTGTAAATACTGTCCGAGTGTTAGAATATCGACATCTATAGCACGCAAGTCTGCCATGGCTTCCTTCAATTCCTCATCAGTTTCACCCAGTCCCAACATAATTGAAGATTTAGTTATCATCCCTTCCTTGGCTAGCTTTGCATGTTTCAAAACAGACAAGCTTTGTTCATATCTGCATCAAATAAGATATTTAGCATAATCCATGGTCTAAAGATTTTCAACAGTTAGAAGTGCTATCATCCTTAAGAAGTCAATATTCAGATGTGTTCCCAACTTGCAAAAAGCTAATGTTCATTGCTAAGCAACAAGAGCACCATTATTCAAATGCCAACTTCACTCATCTTGGGTAGCCATCGGGCCAAACACTCCCCACGATCAAGCAAGTATAAGACAGCAAATTACTAAGACATTCATATAACTATCACTAAGATTAATCCACTTGTCATATCATTGACGTACATTCCTGGATAAAAAAGAGCACCAAATTTCTGGATTGCCCGACAATAAGATTATTTTGAAATCTCATGTGGAAGGATGCTAGAATGCTTGAAAATAAGTTAATCCTCTAACAGCTAATTTTAGGTGACGTGGTGGCACAACACATTAGAGAGGATAACAACCTGAAGTCTGGAATCCTAGATTGCCTCTACATTGCCTGGTAAGTATGAAGAGCTTAGAGAACTGATTTGAATTCCAAGCAAGACATCACAAATGGGGATGCAGCTTCGACAGGGCAATACTGTGAAACTTCAAGTCTTTGTCCAACATCCCATCTGATAATTTTTGGAATTTCCAGATAACACACAAATTACTACTAGTAACTTCGCTTAAACATTTTTTGTTACCAATTTTGGTTTCAACAAGTCATTAAGCTAGTACATAATTGAACTGTTTAGCATAAACATTTTTGTTACTGATTTTAGCTCCAACAAGTCATTAAGCTAGTACATAATTAAACTGTTTAGCAAAGGTCACTATTTTGGAGTTCAATTCATCTTAGGATAAAATAATTGAGGAAATATGAAGTGTGCTAGTTTACCTGTACATATAGATGAGCATGATCCCTAAGAACTAGTGCTTTCAAGTGGTAGGCAGTTGGATAATCACACAAGTCATCATAACATATAGACTTTCGACACAAAAACTGATTAGGAAGCCACTAAACTAAATGCTTATTCTTCAAAGCACTAGCATTTGAAGAGCAATTAACATAGTTTCATAGAAATCTCAGTCACCCAATGCTAATTTATTGCATGATTGATGAATAGAACGATAAATTATTTTTACGTCAATAGTTTGCAAGAAGCTGCTAGAAACAACACCACAATACTATTTTCCTTAGATAGCATCAAAGAACTAAAGAACTCACCCAGCCCTGGGATCTCTAACAATACGTTGGAGTCTTCTGACAGTCTCAATGTTGTGGGCAAAAACATCTAAGCCTGAGCGAGCTAGAGCAGATACAGCATCTAGGTCACCCCGAAAATCGGAAGTTAAACACTCGACCATAATATCAGGCTTGAGCATCTGCAAGGCTAATTGAGCAACTTAAGTAAGACTTTTGATTATAACTTATGAAGAGATTTTCTAACATATGACTCTCTGTTTTTCCAAACAAATATAGACCTTCATATATGGATCATATCAATTTTAGTCGTTAAGAATGGAAACGTAATAAAAGTCTAATATTCAGATAGTCCAGACCTTCATTGCTTTTACCGTCTCAGCAAAATGGCCACTCCCCCCATCAGGTAGATCGTCACGATCAACGCTGGTTAGAACAATATAATCCACTCTGCAAGATAAAACCTTTTGCAGTTCAATCAATCAAATTTTATGTTGACTGCAACAGGAGTCAAAAGGTATGATATCATTAATTCATTATGCTCCGGATGGAACTAGTAGAAAAATTAGATGTTTTCGAAGTTTTAAGATGTCAACATTGGTGCTATTTTTTGTGTTTCATAACAAATTCAGAGTTAGCAAGCCAATCTACGAACAATCATTTACACACGGTTTGTGCCTCTAACATGTATTCAATCTTCAAGAAGACTCAGCTCTTTCAGTCCTCATAATACTGCTGCCATAAGAAGCCATCATACCGCACAAAGTAAGAATTGTACATTAAACCAATCTATGTAGTCTGCACAGTATTTTCATTATCAATCCAATCCATTTAATCATAGAGTTATTTCCTGCCAAATAAATCATCATATTTAAACAAATGCTCATCATGTTTCTAAGAAGTTCTGCACAACTTCACTTTTGTGTTTCTCCCTGATAAAGTTCCGGGCTCAGCAAGCTTGAAATAGACCACCTATCACTAGATGCTTTTCTTTTCTATTCTTTCCTCATTATCTATCAGTAACCATACCATAGCATTTCTTAGCAATTAATCACAGGTTTCCAACAACTAAATGAATCAAACAGTCATGAAATCAGCACCTACCATGTAAAGATTTTGGAAATTATAATAATCTAACAACAAAAATGGGGAAAGAACGTGTTTAGATAGATACCCCCAGCTAGCAATAGCCTTGGCAGTGTTGTAAGGCTCCATAGGATCGGGAGGCGGGGGATTCCTACTCGTCTTGACAGCGCAGAATCTACAGCCCCGGGTACAGGTATCCCCCAACAGCATAATGGTAGCGGTGGCGACGCCGTCTCCGCCGCCATTCCAGCACTCCCCGATATTAGGGCACTGGGCTTCCTCGCAGACAGTGTGGAGATTCAACCTGGACAAGGAATCTCTCACCTCATCGTACTTCTTCCCCTGCGGAGCTTTCTGCCGCAGCCACTCTGGTTTCTTGACGTTCGGATCCCTCCCCGTATAAGGCCCCACTCCGCCCGGGTACGGCGGAGGAGGGCCCACAGCACCAGCACCCGCACCTGTGGTCGTGGTCTTGAAATTCGTCTTATTGAGGGAATTGTTGGGTTTTAGTTCCAGTGGGGATTGAGATTCACATTTGATGACGGAAACTCTAGTGTTAGAATGATGACGAGAAGCGTATAACAAAGGAGGAGGAGAAGGATTGGTGGGGGATTTTGTGAGATATTGAGCAGGAATCATCATTACTTGGTAAATTGAAAATGGGAAAATTAAGTGCAAGAAATGTTGTTGTTTTCTCCTTTCTTCTTCTTCTGATTGAGAAGAGGAATGGGGGAACGGAGAAGGAGAAGAAAAGGGGAACCGGGGTTGGGAGTGGCGAAAATGACGATGCGGAAAGAGTGAAAAGAATGAGGAATTAAATGTAAAGTTCGGTGGTTTTGTTGCAGAAGTGGGTGGGCATAGAGAGCTCCGTCCGTCGTCGGCCTACACTGGACTTTGATGTCCATTCCAATTCTGTTGGCAGTTGGCACAATGTTAACATTTAACAGATTAATTGCAAATCACTCCACAACTTTACATGGGTTGCAGATAGCACCCAGCCCCAACTCCGACTTCAAAATTCTCGTCCATCCCAATTTTTTGGCTGCTGCTGTTGTCTTTTCCTCTTTCTTCATCTCCGTAGCATCCAATCTCGATGAGACATGGGACGGGTACAAGGCCAAGCAGCAGCCCCAGAGGACGAAAAGAACCCTTCTTCAGCGAATTCACCTCTTGATTCTTTGATTGCTGGTACAATACTCCTCCTTTCTTTCTCTTTCCTAGATTGTTGCTTCTGGTAATTTGACCTGATGTTGGACTGAATAGACGAGCCTTAAACCCTGAACCCCAAACCCTGATCAAAAGTTGCTAACTTTTCTTTTTCTTCTTTTGGGGTGCAGAAGCTGCAGCATTTGGCGATTATTAAGCATGCTAATACAATTTTCTGCTTTTGGGGATTTTTTTTTTTAATATATTGCGCTTCAGACTTGGGACTGACTGAAATTTATGTGTCTTTAAAATTGGCATCGTTGAAATGTTATAGTCAGTGGAGGAAAAAGCTCAAAGAGCACTGGAATGGCCTTGCATTGCTCATTTGAGGACTGGTCCTTGTGGCTTCCAGTTCTCTGATGCCTTCCTCTGTTATGCTCCAGAGAAGGTAATTACCAAAACTTAAACTCAGGTTTTTCTCTTTTCTTCCCCCCCTTTTTCTGCCTTGCACTGATTCAGTATGCAATTCAAGTTACTGGCAAATCACCTGAAATACAATTTTTTGAGTTGGCCTAACATACTATCTAATTGGTGTGATTACTAGCATTATAATCCAAGTGTAAGAAGTATGATTTTTCAATCCGATCAGGGCCAGAAACAAATGTTTGTGCAGTGTTGATATGGTTGTGGGGTTTTTGGGGCAATTTTTTATAGCTTATTAGAAACCAAATCTGACATAGATGGTGATCGAATGGGCCGGATAATCAGCCACAATTGCTCCAGAAAATTCCCACATCTCTTCCTCCCCATGTGTGCGTGCGCTATATATAGAAGGAGATAGAGAGATGGAATTAGCTGCAATTGCCCGAGAAATAATCCCTGTTATGTTGTCTGTGTCTGCATAGAGCCCGTCCTTGCACGTCTCTTCTGTTTTTCACGAGGACTTGTGATGGTTGAAAATTGGTGGGAGACTGCAACTAAACCTAAAGCCAAAATTTTGACCACATCAGTTATACTTTGCAAGAGGAGAATAAACTTGAAAATGAGATGAAGTCAACCTTATCAAAGCCCCTAAATCAAAACTAGTATTTACCTTGGCGCTCAAAGATTTAATCTTGAGAAAGGAAGACCTGATAATCGACATGAAATTAGTTTTTCCAAGAAATCTCGTGTCCTTCGCATCTCTCATGTTCTAGTATGCATGTTTGCTGATGTGAACATTTGTGCTCGCTCTCATACACCAGCACATGTCTATGCTGGTGCAATTGTCCGCGGCTTGCCACAGCTTACGCTGCAATCAGGCCATGTAAGCTCTATAGCAGATTAAAATTTACTCAAGTGTTAACTACTCCAAGCTAAAATTTAGCAGGAAATTTGGCCCTGTTATGTAGTCACTCTGTATTCTTAAATTTTAATCCTATACTCTTTACAGAGCATGTTGTTGGCAGTTATTGCTTGAAAACCTTATGATCCGCACTTCCAAATCTTTAATTATTTGGTTTGAGATATGCATTTATATTTGATCTGTGTATTGAATTGGGTTATATGATCTTCATATTGATCTGTCCTTTCTTTTAGTCATTCAAGAAGAAGAAAGTGTTGCATTCAACTTCCACACTGTTAATGCTTGATAGGATAAGCAAATGCACAATCACAGTTCCTTTATGCATACTGCGTTTGCCATCAATATAGGATGTTCATATTTCATATTTTTTTTTCCTCCTTTTGTCTATATGTCTGTCTCTTGTCGCAGCCTCTCAGTTTGTCTGCTACTTTTCCCTGCAGGGTTCGGACTGTGTTAGACCATTTGTGGCTCTGCCGAGTTGTTGATACAAACTCAACTGTGCTTGGCAAACTCGCATACCAACAAATAGGATCTAGACAAGCGACTCCATGGTTTGATTATGCGGGACCCTAAACCCCCTTAGAATCCCTTGGATGAGAACTAAGATTGAATCTTAACCCTCAAGAAAAGATTAAAAGAACTTACGGCTATTGGTAGAACGGGCTACGAGCAAGTATGACTCTTGCTTGATAAGCTAAGAAGAACACTTAGAACAAAATCTAAGATATTCAAAGTTAATCGAAACTAAGAGAATACTCTTAAAACTGAAAATTGTTTATTGATTATTGAATGAATAACAAGCTTGGCCAAGCCTTGTATTTATAGGCTTTGGTACTCCTAATCCTAACTAGCAATGGAAAACCATATTAACTCCAAATAACCCTAAACCTAGCTTACTAAGGAAGCTAATAAACGAAGCTCAAATGGGCTGGTCGGTTAGGGCACACATGGGCTTTCTAACCTTTATTCTCAAGCCTATATTAGTCGCTTAACTCGATAGTGAAGCCCATTATGCAGTTCATCCTTTTTCTAGTAATTTGAGGCTTCTTCATGAACTTGGAGTAGGCTCACCATCGTGTGTTTAGCCCCTTGAATCCTTCCAATGCGTGTATGAACAATTTGGAGAAATGTTTGGAGGTTCTCACGCATCTTTCTTGCTCTTGCTCGAGTCATTGGTCCAGGGTTTATTGATGGTGCGTGTAGATCATTCTTACTCGAGCCTCGTGAAGTGACGACTTGAGGTCTTGGTGGTTCCTCAAGATCATTCTTACTCGAGCCTTGTGAAGTGACGACTTGAGGTCTTGGTGGTTCCTCATCATTCCCTTCCTCTTGAGAAGGATTTGTCCTCAAATCGAAGTCGTTACTTACATCAAATGGAAGTAAGTCAGCAACATTGAAAGTAGAGCTAACATCGTACTCACCTGGAAGGTCAAGTTGGTAGGCGTTGTCGTTGACTTTGGCAAGGATTTGAAAGGGCCCATCTCCACGGGACATCAACTTGCTTCGCCTCTTCTCAAGAAAACGCTCCTTGCGCATGTGTAGCCACACCCAGTCTCCAGGTTCGAACAGTAGTTGCCTACGTCCCTTGTTTGCATGTTTGACAAATTGCTCCGTGCATTTCTCAATGTTTGCTCGTGCCTTCTCATGCAGTTGTCTCACCACTTGGGTCTTTTTCTTACCATTAAGACTAGCATGCTCACTCAAGGATAAGGGCATAAGATCTAGTGGTGTTAATGGGTTGAAACCGTACACCACCTCAAAAGGAGAAAATTGAGTAGTAGAGTGGGTAGAACGGTTATAAGCAAATTCAATGTGAGGTAAACATTCTTCTCATGTTCTCAAGTTGCGCATAATTAAGGCACGTAGCATAGTAGACACAGTCCTATTAACTACCTCGGTTTGGCTATCAGTTTGAGAGTGACTAGTAGTTGAAAACAATAACTTAGTGCCTAATTTAGACCAAAGTATTTTCCAAAAATTGCTCAAAAATTTAACATCACGATCAGAGACTATAGTGCGGGGAATACCATGCAAACGGACTACCTCTTTAAAGAACAGGTCAGCAATGTATGGTGCATTATTAGTTTTGTGACATGCAATAAAGTGTGCCATTTTTTAGAACCTATCTACTACCACAAAGATGGAGTCATGTCCTCTTTTTGTCCTAGGTAAACCAAGAATAAAGTCCATAGAAATATCCACCCAAGGGTCACTAAATATAGGCAAAGGCATGTAGAGACCATGTGGGTTTACCTTGGACTTGACGCGAAGGCATTGAATGCATCGTGCAACTTCTCTCTTGACATCCCTTCGCATGTTTGGCCAGTATAAGTGCTCCTGCAAGATAGAGAGAGTTTTACCTATCCCAAAGTGTCCTATTAGTCCCCTACTATGGGATTCTTTAACTAGTAATTGACGAATTAAGCATTTAGGGATGCATAAGCGGCCTAAGTAGTAAAGGAACCCGTTGTCTATGAAGAATTTCTCTTGGGCCTTTTGCTTGCACGCTTCAAACACTAACTTAGAATCGTCATCAGTTGTGTATAAGTCTTTGATAAGCTCAAAACCAAGTAATTTAGCATCTAAAGTAGCAAGAAGTGTGTACCTTTGTGAGAGTGCATCAGCGATTATATTAGACTTACCAGTCCTGTATTTTATAACATACAAGAAAGTCTCTATGAATGAGATCCATCGCACATGTCTCTTACTTAGTTTGTTTTGAGATTTCAGAAACTTGAGTGATTCATGGTCAGTGTGTATGACAAACTCCTTGGGTCGTAGGTAGTGTTGCCACACTTGTAGTGCTCGAATCAAAGCGTACAACTCCTTGTCATAGGTGATGTAGTTCAACATTGCACCATTCAGTTTCTCACTAAGGTAAGCAACTGGTCGTCCTCTTTGGATCAACACTGCTCCTATGCCGATCCCTGATGCATCACATTCAATTTCAAAAGTTTTAGAGAAGTCAGGAAGAGACAACACGGGTGCGTGTGTGAGTGCGTGTTTAAAAGAGTTAAAGGATTTGTCCTGTTCTTCACCCCAGTGGAATGATACATCCTTTTTAATAATGGAGGTCAATGCTGCGGCTTTGGAGCTAAAATCACGCACAAAGTGTCGATAGAAACTTGCAAGTCCATGGAAGCTCCTTACTTCCCCAATGGTGGTCGGTCTTGGCCATTCTTGGATGGCTTTGATTTTATTCTCATCCACCTTAATGTCCTGTGAACTCACAACATAGCCTAAGAACGCTAGTTGGTCAGTGCAAAAAGTACATTTCTTTAGATTAGCATATAGGCGTTCTTTTCAAAGTACTTCTAACACAAGTTTAACATGCTACAAATGTTCCTTTAGACTTGTGCTATAAATGAGAATATCATCAAAATATACTACTACAAATTTGCCTAAGTACTCACGCAAGACATGATTTATTAGTCGCATAAAGGTGCTTGGTGCATTAGTAAGGCCAAAAGGCATGACTAACCACTCATATAACCCGTACTTAGTCTTAAATGCAGTCTTCCATTCATCCCCCTCTTTAATTCTAATTTGATGATATCCAGATTTCAGATCAATTTTTGTGAATATAATTACCCCGTGTAATTCATCTAACATGTCATCTAGACGAGGGATGGGATGGCGATACTTTACCGTTATGGTATTGATAGCTCGGCAGTCCGTGCACATCCTCCAAGTCTTGTCTTTCTTTGGCACAAGGATGACTGGAACAACATAAGGACTTAAGCTTTCTCTTGCCCATCCTTTGCCTAGAAGCTCCTCCACTGGCCTTTGAATCTCCTTGGTCTCCTCGGGGTTGCTTCTATAGGCCGGTCGGTTAGGTAGGGGTGCACCAGGTATGAGGTCTATTTAGTGTTCAATACTCCTCATGCGTGGCAATCCACTTGGCACATCATCGGAGAAAACGTCCTTATACTCCTGCAAAAGCTTAGAAAAAGAACTAGACAATGAAGGGTCAAATGTGTTAGCATCATTCGAAACTTCCTTGGTATAAAATAGGAGCATGGTTTTGCCTCCAAGTAACCCTTTCCTCACATCTTTGGCTTTTGCACTTAGTAATATTTTTCCCTCTTGTTTTACCTCAAGATCCGTCCCATTTATTGCCTTTTCCCGCTCATTTTGCACGGATCTTTTCTTTTCTTTTCTTTCTTGTTTTTCAATTTTTTTCCTCTCATCAGCTTTTTCACACTCATGCTGGATTTTCATTTGGTCCTCATACACTTGCTTAGGTGTGAGTGGTGCAAGTGTGATCTTCTTTCCTTTATGTAGAAAAGTGTACATGTTGGTACATCAAGTCTAGTACTTCTATCAAATTGCCACGGTCTACCAAGTAACATATGACTAGCCTGCTTAGGTACTACATCACAAAGTACTTGATCCTCATAAGTGCCAATTTTAAAGAAATGAGTACCTATTGAGACATTCAGATGTCTCCACAATTATTTAGCCATTGTAGACGGTATGGTCGGAGGTGCTCGCGAGTTGGAAGCCCTAATGCTTTGACCATCACTGAGCTTGCTACATTGGTGCAGCTTCCAGGGTCTATTACCAAACTACACACTTTACCATTTACATGGCATCGGGTGTAGAAGATGTTCTCCCGTTGGATCTCCTCTTCCTTAATATGTGTGGCTAGTGTGCGCCATGCCACGAGTCCTAACCCCACGGACTCCTCCAATGGTGATTGTATGACCGCTTCCATGTCGCCTTCCTCTTCTAATGATGGCATTTTCTTTTATTTTTCCTCGTCGTCGGATATTATCTCTCCACTTGGAAGTACGATCATTGTTCTTTGATTTGGACATTGGCTAGCAATACGGTCAAGTCCTTGGCACCTCCAACATTTGGTGTCATGACTCCTTGCTTGAGGAGGTTCATTGTTCAACTTTGAAATGACTTTACCTTCCTCCTTGAACGGCGTCGGCTTTGGTTGGAGTGGTATAGCTCCCCGAGGGTTTGAACTCCCTCCTCGGATTGCTAGTACGGCTATAAGAGGGTGATGGTGTAGAAAATGTCCTATTTTGGCCCCTCCTCTTAAGCTTTCGTTCCACCTTCAAAACTTTCTCGAGCATGTCTTTTATTTCCACGTAATGGTACATCTCGACCTTATCCGTGATCTCCGCTTGTAGACCATTAAGGAATCTTGCCATGGTAGCTTCTCGATCCTCCTCTATGTCCGCTTAGAGCATGATTACCTCTATCTCCTTATAGTAATCTTCGACACTTTGATTTCCATGCCTTAAGTTTGTAACTTTGGTACAAGTCACGATGGTAATAGCTAGGAACAAAGTGTTTGCGTATAAGGACCTTCAACTCGGATCAAGTAGCGATCTCAATGTCTCCACTACGGCTTCGATTAGTGATAATTTGGTCCCACCAGATGATGGCATACTCGGAGAATGCCATGACTGCTAGTTTCAGTTGTTGCTCCTCTGTATAGTCATTGTAATTGAACATAAGTTCAACTTTCTTTTCCCACTCGAGGTAGACATTCAGATCGGATTTCCCTTCAAAGGGTGGCACTTGCATTTTGATGCCTTTAATTGCTTCTCCCCTTGGTTGGTAGCTCTTGTTAGCCCTCCTCGTGTGTGGTCCAAGTTCATCGTCGGAATAATTGGACCCTTCCGACTCATGTTGGACTGTTCTCCATCGGTTCATACTCCCTCGTGTGCCGCTTTGGGTAGCTTCCACCTTGTCAAGCTGTTCATGGACAAGTTCTAATTTTTGGTCCATGATTCGTTGGATGTCACCCTTTAGGGATTCGGCAAAGATTTTAAAGTCAAAAACCGATGGGCTATCCCCCCCTGCATTAGGCATGCTTGGTATTCTTGCAAGAAAAAGTTTAGCTTGAAAAAATAATTTCCTCACTTGCTCCCTTAGTGTTTACTCTCGCTCTCGTGTATCACACACTTTTTTTTTCTTTTTCCCTTTTTTTTTGGCTCACAGAAATATATTCTCAAAGCTTGATTTGTACATTTGAAGAGGTTAGATCAGCTCAATAAGTTGTTCAACGGCTTACCAATGGTAAAATCACTTGGCACGTGAGAGGAGTTTGAAGGACCCGAAACAGAATTTTTGGTCTTGACTCAATGGAAACGAATAATTGCAGATCAGTTTTGAAGCTTAACAAATGATACAATTAAATGACTCACTAAGACAGATTTGGTAACGTCTCTACTTGACTCAACCGACTCTATTAAAGCAAAGACACAATGGCAGAAATTTATGACTCCTAGAAGGACTTACCCGATCTTGCACTTGGTTGTGTTTTTGGAAGGTGTAAAGGAGGGTTTCTTGGACCCTCGTTGTGTAAGAGTGGCGGCTGGTAGCTAGTTCCCCACGTGATTTTATGTTACCAATCAGAAATTGGGATTCCAAGTAGAACTAGAATTTGCTTTTACAAACCCAAGTCAACTAGGCTTCCTAATTCTAATAGGTTTCCTTAAGTTGGTAGGATCGAAACTGGTTGCTTTCTTGCGTCTCCTTTTTTTTGTTTTGTTTTTGTGGTAGTATTGATGCAAACCAGATCTCTTTTTCTTCTCCCAATTCGGTCTCAACCCCAAAACAAAGGTTACGGCTATGGTTTGTGAGCAAGAACAGTCGCCAATGCAAGGATCAAGAACTAGTTAGTTGGGTTTCTAGAAGTTCAAGAACTCCCACGGCTTTCAAGATTTTCGTCCAAGTTTTCTTGGCAATTCTAGATTTAATTTCAAGGTTTTCAAGAATATCAAGAACAAGGTAATTTAGCCGTGCAAGGTACAATTTTCCCAACCCCTTTGTTCAAGATTGTAACCCAAATTGCTTAAAGCAATATAGCGATCAGAATTCTGTTTCTTTTTTTTTTTTATGCAACACTTGAAGACTCTAAGACACTAAGACACTAAGACACAACAATTAGTGAACCAAAATTGGTCAGAAACAACAGGTTCAATTAAGCAAGCAATTGGACACCAATACGGACAGCAAAGGAACAAGGGAAACTAACGGTAATTTTTTTTTTTGTGTTGCATTTTGAAGAAGACAGAATTGAGGCAATAAACTATGACTCAAATAAAACAAGAAAAAGGTAAGAAATAACCTGGAAGTTGTCAACTAACTCTGATTACCAGATGATACGAACCCAACCATGCTTGGCGAACTCGCATACCAACAAACAGGATCTAGACAAGCGACTCCATGGTTTGATTATGCGGGACCCTAAACCCCCTTAGAGTCTCTTGGATGAGAACTAAGATTGAATCTTAACTCTCAAGAAAAGATTAAAGAAACTTACGGCTATTGGTAGAACGGCGCTACGAGCAAGTGTGATTCTTGCTTGATAAGTCAAGAAGAACACTTAGAACAAAATTTAAAATATTCAAAATTAATCGAAACTCAGAGAATACTCTTTAAACTGAAAATTGTTGATTGATTATTGAATGAATAACAAGCTTGGCCAAGCCTTGTATTTATAGGCTTTGGTACTCCTAATCCTAACTAGCAATGGAAAACCTTTGGCTGCGTTTGGATCCCCATTTTTTTCAAAAACTGTATTTGTAGTCCAAAAACATGGCAGGAAAATTTCAAACATCTACAGTGTACCTTTTAGAAAACAACACCGTTTTATTTAATTTCTGTCTCGTCTCTGTTTTTGTGTCCCAAATACGGAACAAGTGTCAATATTCAGTAGTCGAAAGAGCACTTTCCTCTTCTCTCGCTGTCTTTGCCCAAGCTTCACCTTTCCTCCATTATTGCTCTGGAACAACCGCAGAACCCACATTCAACTTGAGTTGAGCTTCTCCCTGTAGACGGCACCGGTTGTACGGCTAATGCAGGTCACCTATGGTAGGTGAAGAGATATCCTCCAGTAAGACTGCTGTTGCCGAAGCTGCACTATTTCCGCCATTGTTGCCCTTGAACAACCTGTGTTTGGACATTCAACTTGCGGCGAGGTTGTTCGACCATTGCGGCTCTAGATCTACGGCAAAATCAAATCACTTGAGGCACCTTCTTCTACACTGTTAAACGGTCATCTCAGCTCATCAGGTTAGTACTACCAGAATGAGTTCTCGACAGTATGTTTTGCATTTCAAGTTTGTTTTGATGCAATGATACAGCAAGCTCCATCTTTCTCATAGCCCCATTTTGATGTATTGAGACCTTCATATCATCCCTGTATTAGCATTCTGCCCAAACACCCAAATCTCGTCTGATTTGTGTAAGCTGGTTCAAAAACCCCAAAATTTGAATGTCTGTCCGTTGGTATGTTAATTAACAAGCCTCTGTGAAATTTTTTGTGGTATGAACATATAGTTGTCTCCAGTTTGTCTTCAGCTTCAGACGGTTATCAATTGGCAATGGTTATGCTTCCTGTTTGGGTTCAATTGCACAAAATGTCTACCAGTTGCAATTGATTATCCAGTTGCAATTTTTATTAGGCTAATAATCTCTTATATCACTGGGTTTAGACTGAAGCTTACATAGACAGTTGTAACTTTAGAGTGAATTATCCATCATGTTGTGGCCGACACTTTGCCAAAACTGTTATTGCAGGGAGGTAGGCTTCATTCTTATATGCACTAGCTTCTGATATAGTGTCGCTGTCCTGTCTTTTTGGCCATTTACCACACCAGGTCCGTATATTCTCCACCATGGAAGTACTTCATTTCTAGCAATAAAATTCAAATTAGTGCCTGTTGTACGGCTATTTCTTTAATTCTCAGAAATTGTTACGTTTTGTAGCTGCTTTCACATCTCGGATAATAGAAAATGTGCTTCACAGTGATAATACCTGCGGCCATTCAATTTACTGCTTGACAGATCTTGTTTAGAGGGAAAGAATTTTGTTTTCACACACTGGAAGTTAATATCCATTAGTATTCGTTCCTTTATACATGCACCTTCTACAATTTCTATGAATTAAGAGTTGGAAAGTAGTTATCAATTAAAATTGTCGGTTGAGCTTGCATATGCCTTTATTTCAAAAGCTCCCGATTGGGTCTCTTCGTTTAAATAGATGGTAATATGTGCTGTAACCCATAGCACTGGTATCTAATATGGCTTTTGGACACTGTTAAGAGTCTAATGGCAACAATAGTTCAATTGTTTCCGCAGCTTAAATAGCCTCATACTAGTATTTTTATGTATTAAGTTTAGCTCAGATACGGTTAACCTTCTTCGCTTTGAGGTGAACCATTTAGGTGATACTTTTTAGAAGCCTATTGCAACTACATGCCCCCTGTTACTCGACGTGCTTGGAAGGGTATGAACTACTTCCACGCTTGGGGTCTTTATTAGATTATATGAGTATTTATTCATTGATGGATAACGCTAACTTCTCTCGCTGTCCAGCTTTTCAAAAAAGTAGGCGCCTAGGCAGTTATTCTTCGAAGTCAGCTTGTGTAGAGAACGATTTGCAGCTGTGCATCACCAACTACTTCAAGGTAAAGCTGTTTAAGCCATACAAACTGGTTGAATGCCATAGATTAGAAAGAAACTATGCCATGCAAACTGTTTAAGCTAAAAAATTTCCTTTGCCATGCGTTGTTTCCATCCTAAACCCAAAAAAGATGAGTTGACCACGAGCAAAGTATTCCCAGCGTAATAGTTTCATTGAACAACACGAAATTGCATTTGCCCAACATCTATTGAGTATGCATAGGATGGGAGAAATTACCCCTAACAACATCGGGAGTCATGCCATCCCCGAAGTCATGGCTACGCTTAACGCTACCTTCGGCACTTCCTTTCCCAAAATCACCATCAGATCGAAATACTACGCCCTGCAGAGCCTGACCAGACTGTATATTTCATTCAAGAGGCGAGGTACTGGTATGGGTTGGGACTCTTCGAAGTACACATTAATGATGGATGATGGCCGCTGGGCTGATCTACTCCAGGTTGGCTAACTTGTACTTATATTTCCTGTTTCATTTCGATTATTTTTCTATTATGTAGACTTGCCTATGTGACCAGGCTGTGCAATTCCTTTTGTACCCTGTTCCAATATTTTCCTTTATTATTTATCAGTACATCAAATCTGTTCGAAATCAATTTTTCATTTAAATTTCCTTTCGATTATTTGCTGGCTAACGACCAAAGCAATATAGCCTCACAGAAAAGAATTGTCTTGGGTGTTTTATGCATTATCTAATGCTTGTTTTGATGTATTTTTTAAAGGTGAACAGCGACTTCACAAGGTTTTATAATAGATCATGCTATGTATTTCATTTGCTTGAGGAAGTCTTCATGAACCAAGGCGCTACAGGGGACTACAGTGGGGCGCATGAAGAATCACCCCTCAACACTGATGAGAAGTTGGAAATGGAGAATGCGGCGAGAAGTGCTAAGCCCTCGGATGTTGTTAACGTCGGTTCTTCGGGTGAAGATGTTAAGTTGCCCTCGGCTAGGAAAGGGAAAGGGAAAGGGAAAAGGAACGTGACTAAGGAGAAAAAAAAACGCAAATCGGGAGGCATGTCAGAGGATTCATTCTTCTCAGGTTCTTCAAGGGAATTCGAACAGTATATGCGTGTGCTAGACAGCATTGAGACAAAATTGAGTGGTAAAAAGGGAGATAGCATATGCTACTGGTTCGGTCTGTTCACTGTCGAAGACTACACATCGCCCTGTGGATGCTGATTCTGAGCTAAAGGCCACGTTGGCACAGCTCCTCGCCCTGAATCTAGACATAAATGTGCATTTGGGCGTTGCTGATATTTTGTGAAATTCTTCAGAGCGGGCAATTTGGAATACTTGCACTACTGATGTTGCTCGTCTTGCATTTGTGAGGCGCAGAGGGTTCTTACCCCCTGAGTAGATCGAGACCAGTCCAGTTTTATTATAGTTATGCTTATTAGAGCTCGTTAAATGCTTGTGTTTTCCTCCCTGCTCTGCCATTTGAGTATTGAGTTGGCAGTAGGTTTGGTATGAGTATGACTATGCCTTAACTTTAGTAGCAATCATGCGGTTGTACCGGAAAATTGTTTTTCATTATTTTTTTCCTTATTTTTTTTCGCACACGCTTGTATGAAACAATTGTTTATTAGATTTTTATGTTGCCTTTAATTGTCCTAAATTATTAGTGTCGCATTTAACTTATGGAAGTTAAGTGCTTTGTTTATAGTTACAGCTGTTCGGGTTTTAAACTTTTCTATGTACGCAGGGGTTAAGCTTGTTACGTTTATTTCCATAACTTTCATATGCTTATTGGTGCATTTGTGTAATATCTCCTATCGCATATGGATGTTAGGTGCCCTGTGTATCCATCCTGTGTGTACACAGCAATCCATCTTTATTTTTCGTACTGAATGTATGAGACTCGGGAATGAAACTGGCCGTGCTTCAAAGTGTAGAAGCCATCAACCTTAACATCATTTTTCATCAACTTTTACTGTACTTTATTGATTAGCTACCTTATGTTGTTAACTCCTATCCCATTAATACGCTGTCTTATGGTTGCATGTAGTTGTAATTTGACGGAAATATAAGATCGAGATTGGAAATATATTGCACTTATATAGAAAATGTCTATCCGCTTGCATGCATGGGAATTATTGGGTGTAATCCATATGCACTATGAGTGTATAGGCCAAATCTTCTACATTCATTAGTGTTTCCAGTTTATTTTTTGGAAAACTGTGTTCGATTGATATTGCATTTCCATGTGGATGTAGGTTGGCTATTTTCTGGAGCTCTAGCAATAGTACGTCTCCGCAAAGTAACGAGTCTCTCTCTCTCTCTCTCTCTCTCTATTGATTGCTAATTGTCAGTGCTTTGTTTCGGTTGCACTCTTTATTTGTCTTCTCATAATATCTCCTTTCATGCACGAACTGCAGCACGTGTATTTTGTTTCCAAAATTTCATATTTGGTGATTACGCCTACTTCCACCTTAATTGTCCTTACACAAAAATGAGATTTTTAACATTTACTATGGTTTCATCTCCGAGGCTATCATAAACTTGACTATTAGTTTGTCAATAAAGCAAGAGTTACTTCCTGAATATAAACGGTAGCCTGACCTCTCGTCTCTCTTATTTGCATCTACTCATATCAGCTTGTGCTTGGGATAACACTAGTCTTGACATCATTCTCAAGGGTTATCTCAATTGATGGATAACGAGCTCCACGTTCAAGGCGGACAATTAGACGATGAGACGGACGATCTTGACCTCGACAACATACTCATGGCGGTTATTGTCATGGGAATGGTTTTCTTTGACCCCAGACTGAATCATTTTCCAAGAAGGAGAAGAATCCGAGATAGTGCACTCTCTGGCAGGGATTATGTACTTGAGGTGCTAAACGGCCATCCGGATCGAATTATCAAGAATATGCGCCTCTCTGTGCCCCTGTTCCTACACTTGTGTGACATCTTGGTTGACCGTGGGTACTGGCACGCATATCCTTCTCAAAGGGTTGGGGTTCATGAATCCGTTGCCCTAACTCTAATGTGCTTGAGCCATGATGAGCGTCATCGGGTTTTAGCCGAGCGTTTCCAACATTCCACAGAGACAATTGATCGGCATGTAAGAAAAGTTCTGCGAGCATTGGTGCGACTCGGTCGTGATTTTGTTAGGCCGAGGAATGTTGGTGAGACATACCCCAGAATTTTGAACAACGGACTGTTTTACCCGTGGTTCAAGGTAAATACACAAACACTCAATTCTTGGTAGGACTATGAAGTTCGTATCTATGATTTCCCGTAATTTGTCTTGATAATATTTTAATATATATGAATAGCACATTGTATTCCTGCTAAAACATCCATATGAATAGTTTATTAGCTAATACTGCCATGACTTTGAATAATTTGCCTCAAAATTCATAGGATTGCGTCGGTGCCTTAGATGGAACCCACATCTCAGCTTGGTGTTGAACAGAGATAAGCGAGCAGTACAGAAATAGGCACAATGGACTATCTCAAAATGTGCTTGCAGCTTGTGATCATGACATGCGTTTTGTTTACGTTCGAGTCGGTTGGGAGTGCAGTGCACACGACGCCAGAATTCTTCAGGAAACACTGCACCATCCAAATTCAGGATTTCCAATGCCACCTCTAGGTATGCTTTTCTTTTATATAAAGGTTTGTAGTAAAACAAGTGATTTTCATATGTGAGTCTTGCATAGATTAATAGACTTTTTAGTATTGCTTCAAGGTTTGTTTATTTATAAAGTTTGAAATATGCTGACATGGATTTGGGGCTCTCACATGTTAGGAAAATATTATACGGTGGATGCCGCCTACACTAACATGCCTGGGTTCATGGCACCGTTTAGGGCAGCGAGGGGCACGCAGCATGAGCGGGTCGCTAAAGCTTTATTCAACCGACGACACGCTTCTGTTAGAAATATTATTGAACGAAGTTTTGGGGTTCTTAAGAAACGGTTCCCAATACTGAAGGGTCCAATGCAGAACTACCTCATAGCAACTCAGAACAATATCGTGCTTGCATGTTGTACTCTCCACAACTTCATGAGAGATTATGTGCCTAACGATGAGTACTTCGATGAAGAAGCTGCCCTCAGAGCCCAACTAGATCTCCAGGAGGGAGGGAATGAAATCCATGAAGCCCAACCCATCGATATGTCGCATGTGGGCATACATAACTGGAACGAAAATCGGCGAGCTATTGCAGTTCATGTGTATGTGAATCGGCATGGCGCTTAAAGAAGCTTATGTCTAGCGTGTAGTACTACTAAGTATAAACTTTGCTTGCTTCCTACAATTTGACAACCAAACAATTTGTCATGTTATCTGATTTGTATTTACATCGGTTAACCTTTGGGGAGGTACCAATCGGATGGCCTAGTTCCAGTTGTGGCACCTATAATCAAGCCTGAACTTAATATGCAGCTTTTTATGCGCCTATACCATGTCTTATTCAATAGCTTGTAGTTATACATGGCGTTGAGACCAGAATTGGTTGTATCTTGTGTATCCATATTTATTCCAGCTGAGGTGCAAATCATGGTTCGAATATGTGCAATAGCTTTCCAGTCGATCCCAAATTATTTCAACAAGTCGAGTCCAAATTATTTCCATCCCAACTTCTTTCGGGAAGGAGAGCGTATGGAATGTAGATGGCGAGATTTTACAAGGGCATCAAGTTTCTGCTCAAGTAAATCGAGGCCTTGGTAGTTTATTTGCTACCGGCCCTGAAGTCCAGTCAAATGGCACATAAATGAACCATTGTGTAGTGTATTTATTTGTAATGAGTTTTGATGTATTAAATTCCAGGTTAGTAAAATTTTGTAGCAATGCTTTCACAAGGTTCTAATTTTGACACTAATAATATTATGCAAGTTTGATGAGACATTGAAGTAAAAAAAAAGGGGTGTTTTTGAAATACAGGTCAATCCAAACGCAGATTTTTTCAAATACATGGAGTTTTTCAATCCAAGCAACTATAGTTGTTTTTCAAAAACTGCTACAGTAGAGTGTTTGAAATATACCTCCAAAAACAGAGAATATAAACGCAGCCCATATTAACTCAAAATAACCCTAAATCTAGCTTACTAAGGAAGCTAACAAACGAAGCCCAACATGGGCTGGTCGGCTAGGGCCCACATGGGCTGTCCAACCTTTATTCTCAAGCCTATATTAGTCGCTTAACTCGATAGTGAAGCCCATTATGCAGTTCATCCTTTCTCTAGTAATCTGAGGCTTCTTCATGGACTTGGAGTAGGCTCACCATCGTGTGTTTAGCCTCTTGAATCCTTCCAATGCATGTATGAACAATTTGGAGAAATGTTTGGAGGTTCTCACGCATCTTTCTTGCTCTTGCTCGAGTCATTGGTCCAGGGTTTATTGATGGTGTGTGTAGATCATTCTTACTCGAGCCTTGTGAAGTGACGACTTAAGGCCTTGGTGGTTCCTCATCAGTTGTATCAAAGCAAATGCTGATGCTTTTTCAGAGGACATTTTAGAGGACGATGAAATCAAGAAAGAGGAAAAACCATCCAAAGAATACAAAGTTTACCCTCCCTTTGGTCTGTAGAATCCAAAAAATCCGAACAAAAGTCTTAAGACAGAATGTACTTATTATTCGATTCCGTGGAACCTCATTTTGTTAAATACTAACTTCCATGGGGCATTTTTCCAGTCTATTTCATATTATTACCAAGAGATTTCTTTAGGTCTAAGACACCACCAAGAAGTGTTCTTATGAATAGAGGCATTTTGTAAACGTTAATAACAATCTGTAGATTGATCCCCCTTATTGGTTTTAACTGAGCAAGAAGGGCCTCCAATGCTTTTTAGCGCTGCTTGTGAATGAGTGATTCTTGAAAGAGGTGTTTTGAGATTTGGAGGGTCAAAAGCTACTTTACATTTAACGTTTTCAACATGGAAGAAACTAATAATGGTAAAAGTTATTGCAATGTTCTCTCAGTATTTGCCATGAAGCTCCGAAGGCAAATCAGACTCAGAACTAAGAGGATACCAAGAGACCATTTATATCACCAATGAAACTGGTTACTTCAACTGTCTTTTAAGACCAAGAACTGGAGCACTTTCACGAGTCCCTGTTTGCTTGTGCAATTGAGCATGATTATTTTTTGCTTGGTTTGTTGTGACAAAGGTCAGGATACTTCTCATTAGCAATAGCCCATAAAAGCATTTCTCCAAGATAGCTCAAATAACAAAGAAATATGTGATCAAGCAGAATAATTTAGAAAAATTAATTGCAGCTGTCGAACTACAGTGACTCACATATCAAAATTTCCTTTATCCTAGGTAACTAGTAAACTCGAACATGTCCAACTATGACTGTACCGAAGACATTATAGTATCCGAGCATTCCTTGATCCTACTGCATTTGCATTACATCCCATTACAAATTTGCCAAAATTTTGCATATTTGGTGAGAATCAGGGCGCATTGGATGATTCATCTGGAAAATTTTCAGATTCTGACCAATCAACCATTTTCTCCAGCGAATCCAGATCCCCAGCTTCTGAAACTGTGTGTAACCTGATCTTTTCTGCATCCTCACTGAAAGAATTGAAAAGCAACAAATTGTCAGTTGAGTAGAAAGTTTTAAATTAAATGGCCAAGAGATTCCACCAGAGATTCTTACTCTGCAACTCCAAATATTTCTTTGACAATTAACGAGCTATCCCTTGAACAGAACTCAGGCAGCTGGTACAGAGGTAAAAAGAGTTAAATAATGCGTTAAAATGTACCAAAACGCATATAGGTGATACAAACTGGGCTTAGAACAAGTCCTATACTAGACTAAGATTACAACTCAACAGGAAAATCTTTCTCATCCTAGACATGCTTAGATATCATTGATGAAACTACAGTGTAGAAGGGAGGCTTTTCAAACAAGATGCCGCTCAGAGAAGAGATCCATGTGAACTTCAAGAAAAGAAGGAATGCCTTGGTAACTAGGATAGACCATGAGCAAGACCGATCTACACATAATTAGTACATCATAGTTAAAAGACACCCACAGAGAATGACATGGAGTTCTCTGAAGTTTAATTTAATCACTAGCACACTAAGCATATGGAGTTAAAATTAGGGGTGGCAATCGGGTCGAAATCGAGTTGGCGGGTCGGGTTGAGACCCAGATATAACAAAAAACCCGCTGACCCGCCAACCCGAAATGACCCGAAACTTAATTTTAATTTATTAATTTATCACTGTAATTTCTAATAAAACCAATTTCGCACAAAACTAATTACATAATCAAGTAAAAAAATTTTAAATAAATAATCTCAAACCAAATCTAAAATAAATTAAAACACCGTAAAAGTGTTTATCCCAAAACAAGTATAAAATAAATTAAAACGGTATAAAAGTAAAAAATAATATAATACATTATTTGTCCAAATATATAATAATTTCAACTTCACACAAGTTAAATAAATTCATTTAGGATTAAGTGATTAATGCCTTTGGAAGAAAATAATAACTTATTTTAGTTAGATAAAATAATTTTTATTAAATTATTTTTAATTCGTAAAACGGGTTATCGGATCATATTGGGTTGGATTCATCGGGTTCGACCCGAACCCGCGAAACCTTAACCAAAACCCATTAATTTCATGTTAGGTTTGTATCGTGTTTTTAGGTCGTGTCGGAAATTGCCACCCCTAATTAAAATCATGTGAAGACCAAACTGTCTTCCAACTTTGTGAAATTGGGGCAGATTTTTTAATAAACCAAATGTTACAGTATATTTGTTTATCCTTATGGCTCAGTACGGATTCCCATTTTTGGGATAATGAGAATCCTTAACTGTTTTAGGGGTGTTTTTGAAATATTTTACTGTAGCAATATAAGTGAAAAACTTTTTATTGTAGATGAGGTTGCTTTTGGTGTTTTTGAGGTTGTTTTTTGGTGTTTTTGGTATTTTGAGGTTGTTGAAGTTATGTGTATTACTGTAGCGTTATATCCCAAAAACTTGTTTTTCAACAAAAGATCAATCCAAACTGAGCCCTTGTATTGCAAACACAAGTCTACAGTAACACCAATACAAAAACAACCCAAATACAACCTTATATCTATAAATAAATAAATAAAAATAAAATATCACCCCCCCCCCCGGCCCACCCCTTCTTCCTCCCCCACCACTTGCTATCACCACTCCCCGCATCTTACCATAAGAAGAAATCTGGTAGAAAGTTACCATAAACCATAAGAAGAAGGGGCAAAAAAGGAACTACAAATGCTTAGTAAGTGAATAATACACTATGCAAAAACCGTGATTCCAGAATAACACAACAAACAAACTCGTCATGCAAGGTGCACATCGAAGCATTTCAGCAAAGAGCTATCAACCTTACCTCAGACAGATAAAAAACCTTCCCAAACAGAGCTTGTACTGCAAGCTTTCTCTTGAAACCCTTCTCCGAATATCCTGACATATCCATCACAACAGGACCTGAAAATGCAATCAACCATTGTCAGTCAATAATGATGCTGCATAAGCATGAAGGCAGGCAGATAGCATCTATTAACATCCATGCAGCAGTAAGCATATCTGCCTTTTGAAGTTAATATCTATGCAGATCATAAGTAAGAGAAGGCAGAAAAAGAAGATCAAAGAACACGTCGTTTTTGGCTCCTTTGCCACCAAAAATGGATACAACGAGCAATATCAGTAAATGCAATGATTATCCAGCACATTTGTACACAGACATCTGAACCACAAGGCTTTGACATAAAGGAACATGCTTATGACTTAATATTTCCTGTTAAGCCTTACAAAGCAGCAGGCACAACAAGAGAGAAGTAAAGTAGGATTTTTGCCTAAGCAGACAAAGCAGATATTGTCGCTTAATACATGCTCTGTTGCATCAATTTCGTTAAACTTTCTTATTTTATATTCCAACTTTACATTTCATAAAGACTTGGACAAGCCCTGTAATGTCTTCCTTTACTGTTATTTATGGCTAACTACATCAATTTATGAGGCATAATTGCTGGCTGAAATAAAGTGATCCAGACTGTTGGCTGCTCCTTCATCCAACATGCACAAAAAGATTACTGGAAGAAACAATAAGGTTCCTAGAGACTGGGGAACTGCATATATTACACAATTAATTGGACAAAAAGAAATTGTTAATCATCTCTGTTTCCTCTTCCACCAATTGATAGCCTTTACCAAAATACAAAAGTTTGTGACAGAACACGTAGATCTGCCGAGAAAGAGAAAGGAAAGAATGTAATGCGATGTCTATCATATTCAGAAAAGCCCAGTATGCAATTCTTGTGTGGTTGCTTAAAACCCTACTGGTTTTACATGTTATAGATAGTTAAACTTTGCCATATAGCAGTTTGCCATGTTGACTTTTGTTATCTATAACGAAGAGATCTTATAATTCAAGACATTCTTCTCCAGTCCTAAGTTCATTTCATAAATTACATGAGGGTAGTACAGAATAGAAGTGCAACCACAATGATACTACTTTGTTACCTTTCTCTTTTACATGTTATAGATAGTTATACTTTGACATATAGCAGTTTGCCATGTTGAATTTTGTTACCTATAACGAAGAGATCTTATAATTCAATACATTCTTCTCCAGTCCTAAGTTCATTTCATAGATTACAAGAGGATGGTACAGAATAGAAGTGCAACCACAATGATACTAGTTTGTTACCATTCTCTTTTACAATCCGTCTTGAGATCTCATTGAGAACTCCAGCTATTTGAGAATCATCCAATCCTGATGCTTTCCTCAGTTGAATCAAATTTGCTACCAGATCTGGGTTGAATGGCTTCTCATTCAACACATAACGAATATATTTTCGCAGAATTTCCTCCACGTCAAAACCTGTCTGAGAAAACAGTATTTATGTTGTCAAAGGAAAATAACTCCCTGACAAGCATGCATACAGAAAAACAGAATATACAGTAAATTGATGAAAAAAAATAGCACATATTTTAGATCATCTTATAGTAAGATAATCCATCTTGTCAAAAGCAAAATTTAAGGTTACAAGTCCAGGAAGAGTGAAACTAACAAAGCATTGCCTGAACCTAGGAACAAGATGATACTTTAGAGGTCAAGCGCAATATAGAAAAAAGTGTTTTTAACTAATCAATACCCATAAGTGCACCTTTGTGCAGGAGTTTAGGGTTTAACTTCTTTTCAGACTTCATAAGTTATTACAACATCTTAGTTGGTATATATGTGTGTGTGTGTGTGTCTATATATATATATGAACACAAATATAACCAGAAATGAAACACCTGAGTGCTTCTAAAGGTTGCACAAAATAAGAATGATGGGGAAAAACAATGATGTAATTCAAGAAAACTCGTGGAACGTCCTTGTAATTATTGGTAAAACTGAAGGATCATTAGTGTACTTCTCCAAATGAAAGTATTAGAGGACGCTCTTATCTATCTGAATTAGGAAAAACAAATGGTAGGGCAGAGAAGATACTCAAAAAGGAGAAATGGAACAGGCACAATAGAGCAAGAGAAGAAAGTGGACAGGCCTAGGGAACAACAAGTTAGACATTGACAATTCCAAAGGCATTTTCGTCAAAGAAAGGCTTAAATACAAATCACTCATCAAGGCGTAAATACAAATCACTGAGCATGTAACGTGAAACTTCATGTAAATCATACAAGCATATATTCCAAACATACGCATAAATAATTATTAGATGGCAGCTAATACTCATATTCAAGAGGTTTCTTTCTTTCCAAACATGACATGTAAATCAGAGATACAATAGTCTCTTGGAACATATGCCAGTGAGAGAACCTTACCTTCTGCATCAGACCCTTCAAAGCTGATTGATCGACTTGATCTTTTCCCTTCTCAAATAGCTCATCTATTGATTTGCATAGCATAGCATTTTTATTTACCTGAAAATTTCATTTTAAGGAGGTTAACTATGAGAGAAAACTAATTCATCCTGCCTAAGGGTGATCAAATTAAACCACATAGAGGAGGGATAACATTAGGTTACGTTCTTCAGATAAACCTGATCGCATCAAAACACATTGTAGTGCAAAAGCAAGGGATAGTCATAAATTTACAAAAGCAATCAAACATGATACCACTGTATGAAGACGTGCAAGTATATCAATCAGAAACCACCTAATTGACTGTTCCAGCTGTTGCAAATCACGAGATGACTGATGAGGAACACTGAGAAAGACAAGATAATCTTTTTCTGGTTGAGAAGTTAAGGACACAGTTAGTCTGCTAATGTTAGAGTGACCTGTCCTGTATAATAACTGACTACATGTTTTCATGCTACAACGACTTAAGCGAAACAATGACTTAAGCGGGACATGCACTTTCATCGTCAAACTCTTGTGAGATGCAAATGAACTGCACTGGCATAAGCAAGAACTCCACAATCTCATGGAGATAGTAACAGCCACAACTTAATTCTGCTATTGTAATGAGCCTCAGATGTGGCACAGCTATAATCATGTCCACTCGACTTTTTGTTTACCTACGCAAGAACTCCACGATCCAGATTGCAAACCTAGAGAAATAGACATACAAATGTCTCGTGCCATAAGGGAATCCAAAAGTTTTTTTGCTTTTTATTGTTTCAAACTCTCGATCACGTGCTTGCTCAACTACTTTTTGTCCAACAATCATCCCCTATCTAAGGCGGGACAAGGATATCACATACTCCTAAAAAGCTGCACAAGTGCATGCATTGCTCAATCCTACACCTCATACACACTATACTTCCATTTTTTGAACCACATACATACAAATGCTCGAAGAAACATGGAATTTAAATTGTTAACAGACAATTCCGGGATAAAGGCATAAAGCACGCTTTTTTAAAACTAAAAAGAAGTGAACAGAAAGAAAAACTCTGCAATGCAGGTAGAAATGCTAACCAATTGACGACGTTTTTCTCTGGGGGAATTGAACTTCCGGACGGTCCTAACGAAAGCAAAGACAAAGGTGATCCCTAAATAAGCCAAAGGAACAGCCAAGACCCAGGGCAAGGAGCTCTGCCCAACTCTAGGCCCGGGCAGGGCTTGGGTAACAGAGCCCGTGAACTCGACCAAGTCCAACGCCTTCTCCTGTATCCAGGGCAACTCCTCCTCCACTTCCTCGTCCTCTACTTCCACTTTCTTCTTCTGCTGCTGCTCCTTTTTACTACTTCTGCTACTACTAGTACTGGTACCACCACCACCACCACCCCTTGCCATAGCAGATACGAGGCGGCCCTGGCGGCTGCAACCGGAAGAAGTAGTAGTAGTAGATGAGAAGGAATTGGGGAACGGCAAAGACAGGGAAAAGGGGTTCCATCTGGCGGCTCTGAGAAGAGGGGTTTTGGACAGAGTTGAGGGTTTTGTGGGTGGGATGATAATGCTGAGAGCAAAAGAAGAAGAAGAGCGGCAACAAGGAGTTGAAGAAGTAGCCATCATAACCACTTCCAACTTTCCTATAAGCTCAATAGATAGAGTGAAGAAGCCCTTTTTGGTGGTGGTGTTTGGCGGCGGCCGGCGGTGGCGCGTATAAGGGGTGGCGTCACCAACGAAGAAGTTGGAATTTTCAGTCTTTAACTTATTATTGTCAAATTGGTCAAAATTAGACTTTATAATAAAAAGTCATTTATAATAAATTAACTTCACTTCTAATTTTTAGGTCCCTCTGCTTTCCTTATTTTGCTATTTCTGTTTTGTTTCTTCTTTTTTTTTGGCAATAAAATGTGCACTCGTTTCTCAGCAATAAAATTTTATATAAACTTTTAGTCAATTATCATTTATGTTTTTCACTCCCTTATTTTATGTAAATTTTAACCAATTTGTAAAATTTGTGCCTTTCTAGATTTATTTTCATAGTTTCCTTTTCTTTCTTTTTGTACTTTCTCACCAGTTAAAATTTCCTCCTTTTTTTAATTCTTGATTAGCAAATCTGCATAGTATTATTTAGAGTATTGTTTAATTAATCCTTTGCATCTTAACATTTTTTTGTTGAAAATTTGTTTCTCAACATTTTTGAGTAGTTATGTTTTGTTTTCTCTACGTGGAATGTTTGCAACTTATTATAGGCCAAAGTCATGCCCTCATAACCATTACCTATGCCAAGTTTTATTTTGTCAAACAAAAAAAAAATGCTATACTAAGTTTTATTAGATTCTTTTTTAAATTCTTTTATTCCTTAAGCATTAAAAAAATCGCATTTCAAATTAAGGGAAATGTAATTTTCACAAACTACATCTAAACGAATCCCACGAATACAACCAAAAGGCAATTGCTGACTTCTTTTGACTGTACCCATGGAACTTAAGTGAAATTCACGCACACTCTAACTCACGCACCATTTTCCCCACTAACTTGATAAGTTAGAAATTTGGTAATGCTTTGAATCTCTCGCCAATTTGATAATTGACCCCATTCCTTCTTCCCCTCTTTCCTCCCTCAATTTTTTTTTAAAGAATTTCCTTTTATTCCTTATAACTATTGTCAATTATATTTTAACTTAGTTATGTTTTAGTAGCTTGGACCTTTCCTCCATTTTAGAAAAATAAGTAAAGCAAAAATGATAAAAAATAAAAAAGATAATACTTGCGTAAAAATTCAAATAATACCATATTGGGTTGAGAGTAATACTGAAGGCATAGCCAACAACATTTAATGTGTTTAAGAGAGAAAAGAGTGAATTATGGGGGAAAAAAGGAAAAATGAAAAAATAGAAAAAACTTTGTAAAATAAAAGAGATAATTATATTGTAGTACACAATAGACTTAGGATGTTTCTTTTTTTGTTTTTTTGGCTAAATTTGGATTATCTTTTAGTATTACTATTTTGCCTGGTTGATTATCAACTCACTTGGATGACTTGCAATTGTGTAACTTATTTGGGTATTACATACACTACAGTTTAAGCGCTTCACTAATTACGCATATCATTTTGTAAAACACTGATACTAGTTATTCAACTAACTAAAAACTGAGTGAAAATGCTATTTCTAGTTTCGCTCTTGGTGGAAACAAATATATGAGAATTTTACCAGATTATTTTGGGTGGTTCGACAAATTTATTGGCCACATCAGAAATCTTTCGCTTGCATTTGTACGGCCACTTTTTTATGTTCTAAAATTTTTTAGTTTTTGAACAAAAATTGTTATAAAAGAATTTAAAATACTATTATATAAAATTCAACATACTAATTGTAAGACAAACATTGAAATAAAACATATTAAAAATGGTTGATTTATAACAATTTAATAATTGTTTCAGTCGAATCTTATCCCATAATTCAATTATTTTTACTCTAATTCATGATTGTAAGTCAACATATGAGTGAATGAGATATATTAGGAAATAAGTTCAATTAAATATTTGATTCTGTCATGACTAAAAAGAATTTTAAAAGGTAAACTAATAAATGATGAACTTATTATTTGCTCAATTTATTAAAAATTTAAAAAAGTAATTTGGAGAACTTTTTACAACCCCATGTTTATATAAATACTAATTTGGCCTAAATCAAATTTGAATGGAGACAACATAAAAATTAATAGAATATTTGAGGAAAGAATGGCTATTTATACAATTTAAATGTACTTGTATGAGTAATTTGCTAAAACTGTATAATATAGATTCATTAGAAATGGAAATTGCCAAATTTTAATATACAAGTATGCAATCGAGTCAAATAATAGAGAAAAAAAATTCAAGAAAGATATCATCAATGTAAATGTATATAAAGTGGGGAATTAATAGATTGAAATTTACTAAAAATAAAGAAGTATAGAATGATAGAAAAAAATAAAATTTCCCATATTTTAGTAACGATAATAAATAATCAATGTAACCGTATGTAAGGAATTAACAAATTGAAATTTATTGTAAATAAGAAAGTATAAAATGATAGGAAAAAAAATGAAAGTTGGTCTAAATTTTAGTAATGGTAATAAATTAGGAATCCAACAATAGGAATAGAGAATGTTATCATAGAGAATTAAAATAGAAAAACTATTGACAAAAAAAGAGAGTAAGGCATAAAGGGTTTTTCTAATGGGTGCCCTCGTTAATACACCTAATATTCACCTACTCTACTATGTATATATACATACTAACAATTATTACCTTCCTTTACATTTATATACTTTCCCTATTTAATCCTACCTACCATCTTTTGTATTTATTTACTTTCTTTAGCCCTCCGGGACTTGGTCTGGCGGTTGAGGTTACTGAAAATGGAGCTTTAAGTCCCTGGCTCGAATCTTGCTGCCAGCAAGTTGTGGAGGGTGGGGAATAGTCTGCGGGATCCACTCCTTGCGGGACACCCTTAAAAAAAATACTTTCTTTAATTAATCTTATATTTCAAACAATATGACACTTGAAATATATTTTAACGAGTGCTCATAGGGCACTTGTTATACAAATTGATAAATTATAAAATGAATATAAATTAGGTAATTAATAGGCTATTTAAAATTTACTTTAAATCAGGGAGTAAAAAAGGATTGTAATTTGTTGTTACCAAAAACAAATAAAGAATAAAATCTACTAAGAAACGTAATTAATATATATGTAATTAACATGACAAAAAGATAGCACTTCCATTTGACAAAATATGGGAACAATTCAACAACTTACCAAACTGGAAAGTGAATAAATAATTAATTTATATTTATATGAATCTTCAAAAAGGGAAGATGAAAGAAAAAACTATCACTGTGAGCATTCAAATTTTGGTAATAATAATAGATAATTCAATCAATAATAGGAATACATTACGTGATTAAAGTCTAAAGATGATTAGAATGGAAAGGTGTGAGTTTACTGACAAAAAAATAAAGAAGATACATTTAATATAAATTTATATAAGGTGTCATTAATAGATTTATCGAAATTGACTATAAATAAGAAATTGTGCTATAAATAAGAAAGTAATAAAGGAAGGGAATTAATTGTTACATAAAAAATAGAAAAGGAATAAAAAAAATATTAGGACGCCTACGTGGCATAAAGATAGATAGTCTACTTGGGAGAAGGCTAGAGTAGCTAATTTAGCAACCTATCAAAATCGGATTTAAAACATTGTTTTATTATATATATAAGCAATTAGATAATTTCACATATGATTTTTAATTTTTAAAAAACTATTTTAAAATTTAAATATAAGATAGTATATCTATCATACTTAGTTAGCAATTTATTTGATTATCATCTTTGAGTGATTCACAATTTTAAAAATTGAAACACTTGTAATTATGCAGAAAAATACCCTAATTTGTACGTGAATTGTTGGTTTATAGAGAAAATAAATTCTTCTATAATTTCAAATTTAGTGTTAGTGACATGAAAAACTAAAAAGGGCAATGATTACTAGCAGCTTCATTCCACACAAACTTAATAGTTCAAAATAAATTAAGAGGTACCAAAATTAGTGTAAATTTTCTATATATATATATATATATTTTTTGGTAGGTGGGGGAGCGAAGAGAGATGATTTTTTCTGACTTCCTAACACGGGAGGGTAGGATTTAAGAAACGCATGAACTTTTAGTCTATTAGCACTTTACCTTTTAAACTTCTTTAATAGGCACTTTAATCCCACTTTTTGATTTGTTGGACAAAAATGCCCTTTTTATATTCCTTTATTTCTCCTTTTTACCTATTCCATTTTTTCTTTTCTTTTTTCTTTTTCTTTTACCTTCTCTCATCATACTATTTCCTTTCCTTTCATATTAGTTCTACTAATTGTATACTTAAATTAATATTTTAATTTATTACTTATAATATTATTCTTGTTGTAATTTGTTTTCTTGTGTATGTTCACAACAATTAATACATGACAAACTATATGACATGAAAAAAATGCTATATTCTTGTCACAACAAAAATCGTATATAATCTAGCAGCCTAGTTACCTAAACGAATAAAAACAAACTGGGCTACATAGTTATTTAAAGTTTAAAAGTAAATGCCAACTAAACAAAACAACTAACACTTTTATTAATTCTTTTTACTATGTGTATAATTGGCAAATGATAATAGAACTCTCTTTTTGTTATTAGAATTCCTGGAGACTTATTGACTGAACAAATTAAATAAAGGTTTGGCTAATGAGTACCTTTGGGGTACTTGTTAAAATAGTTTCAAGTGTTAATTTTTTTATAAGAGTGAAACTAATTCTAGAAAACATCTAGATGTAGGGGGTAATAAAATGTGAGTGTGTGTGGTAAGTGAGGTGTTATTTATATGTTGTAATGGGAGCCTTTAGGTTGGCAATAGTGTGAGAGCGATAATCTTCTTACCAGAGTAACTTTTATTCAAATACCAACATTACCCTTAACTGGTCAGTCCCATATATTCGCATTGATTTTATTGGACTCATTATCTACTAATTACTTTTTTTCTTTTCTCTCTAATTAATTGACAAGTTAGCCTTTTTCTTCTTTCTGTTTAATTTATTTATCTATTATTTTCACAACTCACTGATTTGGTTTTAAGTTTTTTACTCTAATCCTTACTTCTATTGTACTTCTTTTGCTTTAAAGTGCTATTATTTTTTTTATTTTCAAAATTGTATTTAAAAGATATTTTTTTTTTGCAAATACAACATTATTTTGCTCAAA